GGTTCAGTTAAGTCAACGATTATAGTAACCCACCGTGTTCCTATTGGTTTGTGAAATTTAAAATGAATGTAGGCACCATAGTGCTCCCTGTAGGAGGCCAGGGCGCTCATGGATACACGACAGCTGGGGCAACGGCGGACACGCCTGGTTCGAATTAGACACCAATTATAGAAAAATTAGAAAGCCCACCGTATCCATAGAGTATGGCGCTATTTTAAACGAACGTAGGCTTCATGGCGCTCAAGGAGAAGCCTTGTTATTTTTTTTACCGTTGCATCAAGTAGTAACCTGACCCCGTGTGCAGAACGTCCAATCTACAGATCAGTGGTAAGATAGCCGGTGGGGAACTCTGGCCACCAAACCGGACCCTGCTGCCGGGGCGAGGCCCTTTCAAAAAAAATATTTTCTCGCATAACCTTCCCAAGAGTATTCTTAATAACTTCCCAAATTTTAAAAGCGATCGTATGAAGGGTGCAGTAATGAATAAAAGGCTAACAGGCAAACACACACTTATAGACGTACAGTTACATGTGTATGTATGTATGTATGTATGTATGTATATACATACAATATATATATATATATATATATATATATATATATATATATATATATATATATATATATATATATATATATATATATATATATATATATATATATATATATATATATATATAGTTAGGTAGGTAGGTAAACAAGCCTAGACCTGTACTTTTATAACATTTTAACTTAGACTTACACTGTAGAGCAGTACATTACGACTCCAGTTGCCGTTAACAACACTATTTTATTTTCTCTCAGCTGAAAGTGAAAGGAATACTGTATTATTACCATAATAAAAATATGGTGGGACATTGATCCAAAACAGCCAAAGTCTATTAAAAAAAATTTAAAAAATTGTATGTTGTACCTGTGGTGTGTATCTGTGCATGGCTTTTTCTACAGTAAGCATACACATTCTTAACAGAACCATGTACACACAAATGAAAACGAAAAGTTTGGCTTCTGAAATTAAAATGTTTGGTTCTATAAGTTATAAGTCATAAATAATGATTTATTTATTAACACCAAAATCAAGAGGGATTTAAAAACAATCACAAACTACAAATTGATTTCATGAGCGACCAATGCTTTTCTTAAATTAAATAAATCAAGTAAGTTTAATTTTCTTATTTTCAATGCATTTTAAAAGCTTATAATTATAAAAGTTTTTATGCTTGTTTTATTTTTCATGTTTTTTTTTAGTAATGATCTAAATCAGGGGTCTCCAAACTTTTCAACCCGGGGGCCGCATTAACAATAAAATATCAATTCGTGGGCCAGAGTTTCTACCAGGAATTTCTTTGAGTTGGCGAAGCTACCCTCCCCCCACCCCCAACGAAGTATAATTTATATAGAGCTATAAACACATTTCTGAAAGAAACACTGTCGGGGACCGACAACACACTCGAGGTCCAAGTTTGCTCTCAAATTGTTGTTCAAGTATTTCATTCTTGAAAATGTTGTTCCGAAATTTGAAAGGTACTTTGATGCAAAAGTTTTAATATTAGGAAAGTCTTCCTTGGGCAAAACGTATTTTAAAAAACTTATAAAAACCCACACGTCCTTCTTTTAACTTGACTCTAAGGAGGTCATTTGCTTGCAATTCAATGACCTCCAGCTGCATTTCATTTGGGAAACTGGCCACATTTCCTTCAAATGGATTTTGAAACAGTCTCACTTCTTCTGCCTTTGAATCCAAGTCAGAAAACCGCTACTGAAACTGCAGCTGGAGGTCCTTGATGATCTCGCAAGCAAATGACTCAGCTGTTGCTTTAGCCATGAAGCCATTGTACTGCTGAAAGTGCATCAAGTTTTTTGCCTGTACTTGTTTCATGACGTTTGAATCTGAATGCCTTTAGGTGGGTGTATAGAACAGAAACTAGATTTTACTCTCCTTGTAGTTTTAGGTTAAGAAAATTTAAATGACTTGTTATGACTGCAGCAAAAGTAAATTTCCATACCCACTCTTCATCAGACATTAATGGCTGTGGCTTGCCTTAACTTTCCAGTAAGTCACCTATTTCCTTGCTTAACTTAAATTCTCTGCTCAGAACTTTACCACAGTTTAGCCATCTTACTGCTGTATAGGGTAAATCTTGAGATTCTGTGTCTGTATCTTTCAACATGTCTCTGAACTATGTGACCTTATTAAATTTACCATCTTCACAAAAAGATTCCGTACACTGCTAGTGTCCATATATTTAGTAAACAAAGCTTGCTGGTGAATAATACAGTGCAGGAACACTGGTTGTATAATGTTTTTTTTTCTCATTCGTTTGTCCAACTAACAAAGCCTTTCTTTATGACACTCATGTACTTTCCTCCTTCAACATTCAGCTAACTGAGGTTAGTCCAGTCCAAGTTATAATCAGCAATTTTTTTTTTATCTCATTGAATATATCCTCTCCAGTAACCATGCCATACATGCTATGTAGGGAAGCCAGCTCTTGTGTTATGTTCATGTCTTCATCCACATCTGTAATGAACACAAGCAATTGAGATTCATCCATAGCAATTGAAAAATGGCAAAACTTGCTTGCATTTTTCTCTATTAGAGTCACAATGTTTTCACTAATGTCTGCAACACGGCGGGCAATGGTATTTGCACCCAAAGCTACATTTTCCAATTGTTTTGAATTTTCTTGGCAAAGTTCCTCAGCCACCTCCAACAAAAATCTTTTCCGTGGACAAAAAGATCTCCTCGGGCCGGATAAGAGGACCTCACGGGCCGCATCCGACCCGCGGGCCGTAGTTTGGAGACCCCTGACTAAATGAATTGACATCTCATGCGACTAAAATATTTGCTGTAAAACACGATCAGTAGTCTCTAAAAGAAAAGTATCTGCCCCTTTTTTAGCACGTGATCAGCTGCATTAGAAGTAGATCTAGGTCAACTCTAATTTACCACATCCCCACACACAAAAAAAAACACAGACATTGTGAACTAAATAAAAAGATTATAAATATTTTAAAAATTAATTAATTATGTTTGGTGTTTCCAAGGCACTTTCTATCTGCGGTATATTATTTCAATACGTAGAGTACAAGCACCAGAGTTGGGCAGATTCACTGTGTCAATAGATCTAGATCTAGAATCAAGTCTACTGACTTGAAGTTTTTTTTAACCCGGATTCGAACTTGAGTCGGGTTAGAAGTCTAACTTTCTACCGCTTGGCCACTCCGTCCTACCAGTAGCGTAGCGAGGGGGGGGAGGGACATATGTCCCCGGGCGCCGACCTTAGGGGGCGCCAAAATGGGTTGGAAAAATAAATTGAAAGGTTTAGGGGGGCCCAGAGGCGTAGCGACCCTTCTCGGCGCCCGGGGACAAACTTTTCGATTTGCACCCCCCCCCCCTCAAACTTTCGATTTGAACCCCCCCCCTCCTTGAGATTTCCATTTACACCCCCCCCCCCTCTCAAACTTTCGATATGCACCCCCCTCAACCTTTCAATTTATTTTTCCAGCCCATTTTAGCGCCCCCTAAGGTCGGCGCCCGGGGACATATGTCCCCCCCCCCCCGCCGCCGTCCCCCCCCCCCCTCGCTACGCTACTGGAGGGGGGTGGAAATCGAAAGTTTGGGGTGGTGTGCAAACCGAAATCTTGAGGGGGGGGGGGGGGTGCAAATCGAGAAGTTTGTCCCCGGGCGCAGGGAAGGGTCGCTACGCCTCTGCGTCCTACTTATCAATGATTATTGTATTGACATATCATATTATAGGATCATAATATTATAACATTTAATAATATAGATTATAGATTAGAATTAGATTGTGTAATATAAAATATGAGTAAATTAATTATTAATAATTATAATTAATTATTGTAAAAACGTACCAAGGCCATTATGCGCCGAACTAACCAAAATGTATTAACTTTATATAAAAATTATAACAAACAATTTTATTTCAGTAATGTTATTGGTAAAAATCACGATATAGCGTCGGTTATTATTCCTGTACTGTACAGCAGTAAAATACAGTAAAACCACGGCGTAGTCTGCCGAGCCGTTCCGGAAACCACAGGAAATACTGTAAACAGTCATTTATTTGCCGCCATATTATTTTCAATACATAATGTTTAAAATTGTGCATGGGTTGATTTTAGTTGCATTTAAATACTGTTTTGCTAATTAATTTGTATTTCTAATTATTTTAAGTGTTAACTATTGCTGCTACTAAACATTGTTCTAATTCTTCTTACTACTTTTAACGTAAATAAATCTAATCTTCTTATTTATTTTACTAACAGAACTAGATCTAATTCTAGTCTAGATCTCTAAGAAATCTAGATATAGATCTAGTCTAGTTTCTAGATCTAGATTCTAGTTGTTGCAAATTTTCTGCAGGTTTTTTTTCTGTTTCTTAAAAAAAAACATTAATTAGATCTACTACACTCGACTTTATTAATAATATTTAGATTTACTAATTGTTGCTATTTTTTGTCAATTAAACATTAAATTAAGTTAAAACATTAATTTTATGCACTTGACTCTATTTTTATTTCAACGGTCAAATAAACTATGGTTTACAGTTTACACAGTGTAACACAGTAACGAATGTTACCGAAACTCAACATTACCCAATAATTTCCGACGCTATATCGTGATTTTACCATGTTATGTTTTTTTTTTAATTTTATAGAATCTACTAGACTAGGTCTAGTACCTAGATTTAGATCTATAAATGTCATTTTTACTAGATCTAGTTCTAACTAAATTTAACTTACCTTTAAGAAGTACTGCCCTATTAATTTTAAACATGGCGCCGCTAAAATAGATCTTGATCTAGACCAGATTTTTTCACATAGGTTGACTAGAGTAGATCTAGATCTACATGTATAATTTCGCTTTGAAAATGTTTCCAAAAATAAATTTCTCAAAATGTTTAAAATAGAATGTAACTATAAAGTAGCTAGTTGCATTGCTATGTTTAACAGTTTTAAAAACGATAGAACGCGGTTATGATTCCAGTTATAATAAAAATGCCCCTTTTTTTTATAACAGTGGACCGTTACAGTCGCATAAGGTTTTTTTCAACTTTTTACTTGTTTTTGTGAATCTTATATAGAGTTTAAAAGGTGAGTTTAAAAAAAAATTAAAATAGTAATACATTGAGACTAACTCTGTTTTTAGTGAGATTGTCTTTGTTATTTATTAAACTTTCTAACTGGCATATTTATTTGAGGTTTATCAGGCAAACTATGAAAAATGCCTCACAAACTAGGCACTATATTGGCGGTTGAGACCGCATTTTTCATGTTCCTTCGTTTTGTAGGCATTAGGTCGCCAATTTTAATTTTTAAAACATTTCTCATAGAATTTTAATAATTTCGAATTTAAAATGTAAAATTAAACTACTAACAGAGTAGATTCAAAGATAATTTTTTTTTTGTAAATTGAGCTAATATGATGTGACATGTGCTACGTGGGGGGGGGGGGGGGGGGGGGCTCTGATGTCTTAAACATTATTAACCAAAGGTGGAAATTATTAATTGAACAGTGGTTGATTAAATTCACCAGGTAGATTTTGCAAAATCCAAATCTTATTAATATAATATTTACTAGTTTAAAATACAACATTTTAATTTTACGAGTGTGTTTATTCTGTTGTAAAAACCTGAATATGTACACTGATAGTCTTCATTTATTTCATATCCTATTCAGCGGCGTAGCGACCCTTCCCGGCGCCCGGGGACAAACTTTCAATTTGGCGCCCCCCTCGGGAGCAAATGTTCAATTTGCACCCCCCCCCCACCAAACTTTCGATTTGCACCCCCCCCCCCCCTCAAACTGCAAGAATGCAGCTAAAATGACATTTTAATTTGTTTTTACAACCCATTTTGGCGCCCCCTAAGCAGAGTTTCTTCCAGGAATCCCTTCGGGGGGGGGGGGGGCCTTTTTTGATGACAAAAAGCGTGGGTCGGGCAGATTTATGATTAAAGCGAAAACGTACCCACGTTTTTTGTCATCAAATGTATGAACAGTCATCACAAGAACCTGCACAGCTCGAGGAAGCACAAAATCTACGAGCAGTCATTGGTAGATCCCTTAGGGTCGGAAGAAAAATTTATTTTCTACTTTTTAGTCCACAAGAAAAACGTGGTTTTTTAAAAAGTTTTTTTTAAGTATTTTATTTTTATGTCTGCTCCTGGCCCCACCCTGCTTATCAACAATACTTCCAAGGTAGGTGAATCTATCCACTTCTTCTAGGGCTTCTTCTGCCAATGTTATAGGGTTGCTGTTTAAGTTGCCCTCATCACACACCGTCACAAAATTACGGACCCCCCTCCCCCCTACGAGTGTGACGTCATTTATGGACGACCCCTCATCAGAGGAAAGAGCAGATTTTCGTTTATTTTTTAAGCGTAAAAGTTATAGGCCTATAGATCTAGAATCTATATCTGATATCTGGTTTTTCTTTTTTTTTTGCCAATTCTTATTAAAGACTTTTCTCATATATCATATATCTATGATGAATGTGTAAATAAGGTATTACTTTTAAAACTAGTTCAAAAGCAATATATTTTTAAATATTTTATTTTATTTAAATATATCGATACATTGGATGATTGTGTGTATTCTTAGGGTTGACAGATACCTTTTCTGAAAATACTGGACACCTTTCCATCCTTCCCTTTTCGGGTATGCCGCAAAGCAGAAGAAGGGGGTAACAGAGTATTATTCATATACTTGTCCAGTATTTATATTTATTTTATCCTGGACAGTCTGCTCAAATACTGGACTGTCCAGTTCAAAACTGGACACCTGGCAACCCTATGTATACTATTAACTTTCATTATAAAATCAAGAAAGTATTAGGCCCTATCATAATTGAATTATGGAAGTAATACAAGACTGACATTTTGCAGATATAAAAAGTCCGTGCTTTTCGAAATAACGTAACAAAACAAAATGTATTTTAATTCAATTAGACAGTTTTTGTTGTATTGCAAAAATATTAACGTAAAATTAAGTTGGTGTTATTTTACTGTCAGTCTTCCTTATTAATTAACAATTATTTTATTAAACTTGGGAAAATATTTGTTTATCTAAAAAAACAAGTGCCATTTTACTTTTTATGTAACCACAAAGAAGAGTTGCCACACAAAATTCAGTTTCTGTAAATTTTTGATACCACAGCATTTCTGCGTTTATCTTTCTGCAAAACTTTGCGAGTAAGAAAAATATAGGCACGTCACTATAATATTATATTCATTTTTCAGTGCACATAGATTTAAATATTGCATTGAATCAATATTTCTTATAGATCTAATTATTAGTTATTTTTATAGACGTCTAATCACTAATCAAGTGACGACGAGCGAGTCTTGGGCAACGAGAAGCTCACACTTAATAAAACTTATCATTATTTTATTTTATGACTTAGAGATGGCTTTTCTTTGAAGTCAAAAGATTTGTCAATTTGCTAACCAACACAGCCCTGACTCATCGCAATTGATTTTTAAAAAAATAGCCTTGGCTGTAGACTACTCTAGATCTAGATAAAGTTTTTTTTTAAACTGTATCAAAATCGTTATTTTTTTTTACATTAATTAATCTAGGGTGTGTGTGTGGGGGGGGGGGGGGGAGTGCCTTACTTAAGGGCAAGGCCTATACTTAACTAATAATCTATATCTTTATTAGGCCTATCTATAATTCATTTTCTTTAGCTTTTATATACAAGATAATGCTCAAATTACAAATTGCTGCTGCAGTACAAAGATTAAATAAATATGATTTTTATTTTAGATCTAGTAATGACTGATGATGCACTAGAACTCAGAAGTTTTGCTGAAATAGGTGCTGACATGGAAGAAAATGGGCAACAATATTGTCCATGTTGCCAACACTCATATTCCTGGGGAGATGATGAAGAATCAGAGAATGTTCCAACTGTTTTAACTTGTAGACATACTCTTTGTTCAGCTGTAAGATATCCAATGATAGAATAATAATTATAATAGTATCTTTTATTCTTGTGGTATTTAATCATAAAACTGAAAACTTGGTCCTATATGTACTTACTTTTCTTTAAACTTTACAACCATGTCAGTTAGACTTATTGCAATGCCAGTTATAAAATGCTGAGCTTTTTATTTTTTCTTAACTTAGTGTGTGAAGACACAGTGGCTAGATGTGGAAACATCAGATGACACTGTATTTTGTCTAGCGTGCTCCAAAAGAGTTGGCATTATGTCATTGAAAAAAGAAGTGGAGGTAGGCCTATGTTAAAATACTTGTTTTATAAAAAGATATGTCAGTCTAGAACTAACAAATGTGTTTGATATCTTACGTATGCACTGTCTAAAAGTAACATACTTTTTTTATGCAGATAATCTTGTAATGTCTAGCAAATCACTACTTTTATAAATAAAAATGGAAGCAATATTTTGTTTTTATTTAAGGAGGCTGAAGATTTAGAACTAGATATACATCAAGGACAGAAGAGTGTGAAAGAAAACATGTTAGGTCTTATTACACACCCAAACAATCAGGTATGCTACTTGATCTTTAATTTTATTACCTGTATTATTAAGGTTTTGTTATATCAAAAATTTAAGCTAAAAGATTTATGATAAAAGCACAACTCCTTTTAATCCTAAATGGAATTGAAGTTAAAAAAACCTCAACAAACACCAATGAACAAACAGGTTTTTTACTGAATTATATCTAAGTCAGTAAATCAGTTTGGTTCTTTAATATGGAGTTTGATTGAATAAAATGTATATTTTGGTTTTTATTTTTAATTGCGGGATGCAACTGTTATTTTAGATGTGTAGAAGTTGATACTAAGTCAACCTCACCTACCACAAATGTTCACTAAAATCAACTTTTTAGGACTCCCTTGTGAACATCATAAATGTAAGACCCAGTGGAAATGGGCAGGATTTCAGGGCTGAGATGAAGGAGTGATTAGTGGTGAAGAGGTTAAATAGGGTGGGGTGGTTGAAATGGAATATTGCTGTTGTCATGCATTGCAGCCAACAGGGAACTAGGTCGTCTAGTTATAAATGCTATTGTGTCTCCCTCATTTGTAGTTAATGAATCACTTCTCTAATCTGATCAGATGGAGACAGAAGAAAAGTCATCAACCACTGGCAATATGGTTACTGATGAAGGGGATGGCATATCATCAGAACTGAAAGAAGGCATTCTTCTCCAGGAGTGGGTCAATACTAACATTCCAGAAAATTTTGTATTAAGGTTGGTCTCCTCTGGCACAGAACATAACATTGGTGGGAATACTTATATACTAGATAACATTGGTACAAATGGCCTTTTGGTGCATACAAATCCTTCAGAGGGTGATGGGCTGTCACTTGGAGATCAGGAAGTTGACTCCCACTCTGTAAAGCCACATATTGAAACAGGATATCCTAGCATTAGTGAGGGTGTTACATTGCAGTCAAGTATGATAGGCTCCCCTGATTTGAATTTAAAAGCTCTACTGCAGATGTTGGAGAAAAATTCTGAGTCCAACCTTGGAGGAAGTGCAGATAACTGTGGTATTCATCATGAAACAGAGCTGACTGATTTCCACACTACCGCCATTCAAGATAGTACACAAAACACCAGCTATATGGAAAATTTAACTGTTCAGGATAACCAAGATATTACTTTAGATGGTGTTGCCTTATCGAATAAATCATTGTGTGATCAGCTTGAAATGGAGGATCAGTGGCGACCTGTTGATATCATGCAAAGAACATTTGTACAGAGTGAAGAAAAAGCACCCATCAACCAACCCCTACCTTGCACTCTGTATCTCCATGGCCGGAATATTTTGCCTGTAAATGATTGCATTTCCACTCAATCTAATCATGTGCATGAAATAGGAAAAATGAATGGAGATCCCATGCAAAATGTTTGGCTAACCCAGGTGCAGAGAGGCATCCCAAAAAAAAGTAATGCTAAACCCAGACGGGGACGTAAAAAAAAACCTTTGTTCCGTCATTTTCAGTCTGAATTTTTCATGAGACCTTACCTGAAAAGAGAGAACAGCCCCCAACTGCAGCTAGTTAAATTGGTACGGCAGAGAGCACAAGAGAAGAAAGAGGAAGAAGAAAAGGCTGCTGAAAACTTGTCGATGAACAGTGATAAATTGCGGGTAGATGCCGAGAAAAGTAGCTTAGAAGACCCTGAACTGGCTTTCATGAAAACTGTTGATATGCCTAGTGGGAAGCGAGTTGAAGATATCTATGTTGTTCCTTCCGTTTGGATCAGCAACGAGAAGAAAAATAATAGTAAACCATTTGGAAGTAAGGAACCTACGCCTTCAGTAGGATCTAATTTATTTAATTATTACTCTGGGCAGCCTTCACAGAGAATTCCTGTACAAGTTTATTCACATGGAAACCGATCCCACTTTTTAAATTCTGGTCCGCATATGTCATACACCAAGAACTACCAAGGGTACAGTCACCGTCATTCAAGCTTACCACAGCAATCACTTCCAGTGCACACACTGAAATCACTACATTCAAATGATAACCAGACATGCAAACCAGCTCAGGGAATGTGTAAGATTATCAAAGGCCATATCATTACCACACTGAATGCTCCCAAAATTGGACCTGTCCCTACACTGAAAGATTTGTGTAAAACTGTTCTTGGTTTCCAGACGTATGCATCTTTAGATACAGCCAATGACAGCATTTACTCATATACAAATGGAAGCTCACAACTTAGTTTTCCTAAGTCTAGAGGTTATTCTGAGGAGATTCGCCAAGCAATTAAAAGCCCAAAGCAGTTTTTGGATATGAAATCAGCACCTGTGCACCGTGATCTGAAAATGCCGCACATAGGGTCAAAGCCCATTCAAGCTAAAGACACCTTATGTGAAGATGATTTCCTGAAAGAGATAACCCACAAAGAGCACAATGTTGCTCATACATTTTGTGAAACTTCAAATTCTCTCCCTTGCCTTGCTGATGACAACTGTAACAGCATTAGTGATGTGTATGATACAAGAATGGGGGATAAATATAGTGATTCTGAAGAAACACTACCAGAAAATCCGCTAGTATCAGAGGATATAAAGAAACTAGAAAGGTCAAAATCAGCTTTAAATGACTGTGATCTCTCTTACGGTGGTGACTACAAGGTTGACTTGACTAGTTTTGATGATATGAAGGATGCCAGCTCCACACATGTTAACTCAGTGAGTAATTTCAAAGACGGCCTGAAAGGTGTATGCCAGGGAAGTAGTTCCACAACAAATGTCATTACTAGCAACAGCGATTACGTCATTCCCATAGTCAGTTACAAACTTAAAGAGCCTATCTTAAATAATTTTATGAACAATCCTAAAAAAGATCTTAGACCGCAAGAAACTCACTTTATGAAGAATGATTCCAACAAGATGAACTCGAGGTTTAGGAATGCGCTTTATCCACAGAGCTCTTATCCCCTATATTTAGATACACAATCCACATCCACAGATGAGACAACTGAAGGTGAACAAGTAGGTTTACCAACACTAGTATCCATTGCCAAACAAATTAAATGCCTCTCTTCATTTGAACCACTAAACAAGCAGCTTTCAAATTTAGCAGCATCTCTGAATTTGCTGTGCAATGCAGAGAAGACACTCTATGAGTCAAATTTTGTTATTTTTCGGCAAATGAAGACAGAAAATGAATCCAAGTTGGGCCGTTTAAACATGTGTATTAGAAAACTTGGTGACTCAATAATCACCATCGGCTGCACACTACAACAGTGGTCCAAACCAACAAATAATCGCTGCTTCAAAACTATGGGAGTTCTAACCGATTTGTACAACTCAAATATAGTTGGGTTGATTGAGTTAATTACTCCTTACTTTCACTACATCTGTGAGCTTATTGCTTCTTGTCACTCAGATATTATGATGTGGAACAAAGATGCAAGTAATGACCATTCCAGCTGTTTGGAGGACTCTGCTCCTATTGATTCTTCAGTATGGCAAGATCTTAATGTTGAAAACACAGGAACTGGCACAAGCTGTTCCAAGCCAGTATCTACATTCACCTACAGTGAAACATCAAAATCCTCATCTCCAAAAGATTTTTCGCGGCAAGAGTATGACCGTTCTTTATCTTCTGAAGAATTTATGGAAAGTGAAGCCTCCAATTCAGGGCACACAAGTGCAAAAACATCCCCGAAACTAAAATCCTTAGCAAACACAAAGCGAGGGAGACCTCTTGGATCAAAAAATGGCCAGAGAAAGTCTAAAGGAATCCAGCTAAAAAATAAATTGAAAAGAAGAAGTCCCTTGATGTCAGGAAATCAAAATTTCCACAATTCTTCTGGTATTTGTCAGCCTAGCATGATTCTCCCTAACACCATTCTTGTCAGTATGTCTTCAGAAAATTTCTGGAATGAAGCCAGTGCTACTATTCTTGATCAGCCCCAAAGCTCTACTCACCTTTCATCCAATCATGATAATGAAAATGCTGACCTTAAGCAAGAGATGTCATCAATGCAGGAAGCACCAGCAAGTTGGGTGCTGCCTTCTGGAATGGTAGATAACTGTCAAAGTTTGCCAATGCATTTGAACATTTCCCCTGTGCAGACTGCAGATACAACTCTTTCTTTATTGGATCAGGAATACACTAGCAATTTAGATGGTAAGTCTGGCATTAAATAAAGGTGTGTATTTCTTTAAAATAAAGCAGATATTTTTTTAAAGAATGAATTTAAATCTTTAACACTCACTTGATGTGAAGTAGATAAAAATTCATTCCAGTTTTTTTTTAGAAATTTAGAAGTACTCCACTTTTTTTAAGATGGAATCAGGCTTTATGGAATCTTTAACTTTTCCCTTGTAGATTGTTGTTTAAAATAATAAATTAAAATACAAAAATTTTGCAGTTGAAAATATTGCCTCTCATTGTCTCAAACACAAAATTACTCTAATAATGTTTTTTGTTATTATATTGTTTTTTAAATACTGTATGGTTTTGTTGTTGTGATATTAATTTTAATTTACAAAAAGGATTACTTAAAATAATTTTCCCAGCCTATCCAATTTTTAAGTTTTCACATGCTAAAAAAAAAAATTAAATATCAATTCACAGCAGTACCAGATCTGATAGACACCTCAATACACAAAGGCATGAATGATGATTGCAGCCCCAACAAGAAGTTAAAATATCAGGGTAATGTACCTGGAAATACTTTTACCTAGATCTAAATTAGTCAAATGAATTATGTGAAGACACATAAACTAGGTTGTTGCTTGACCTACTTTTTTAAGCTGTTGCCTTTGTAATAATGGCCGCTGAAAAAAAAATCCAAATTTTCATATTGTTACTAAGGTTATTTCAAAACTGTATATTGTAATTAGATATTGTCAAATTAAACAACAACTAACATGTTTTGACCTTCACCTGAAGAAAAAATAGAAGGTTGAAATGAGGCTTATTTTAATGTCTTCTTCATGATAAATGTGACATTAACTAATGAGCATGTTTTAATTTAATTTTCCTCTTCTTTTTAATTAGAAAAAGTTTCAGCACAATAACTTTAAATGTATGAAAACAGAGCACTATACATTTCTAATCAACATTTTTATAACTCACAGATAACACCATTGTGTCGGATGATTGCTCCAATATTGTTTTCACACTGCCAAAAGGGATCAACATTGTGCTGAGGGATAGCTCTACTGACAACACAGAAGAGGACATGAATATTGCAGCCAGTGATCCCAGCAACCAAGATGAGGCTATTGGTCATGTGGAGGAGCTTCACAACTTTCAGAACAGTATCTATTACATCAAAGGTGCTGACAATTCAGATGACGAATTACAGTTAGACCATCAAATTTTTTCTGGCACCCTAATTAGATCATTAAAAGAGAATACAGAGATGCAGGATAAATACCAAATATCTTTTATGCAAGATTGTTCCAATGCTGAGCTTGAAGATAATGTAAAGGATTTAATGGATAGTTCATCGTTTGACACGTCTATCAGTGGGGACAAAATAAAGAACGAAATCTCTGAAAGTTATTCTCGTAATGTGAATGATAGCATAGGGGATCTGTGTCAGAATGATGAATTTGACATGAATATGAATTATGATGAGAATAATGTATCTATTTTACATACTAGATCTTTTGATGAGCATCTTTAAAATAGTTCTATAAATATTTAGTTTTTGATGTCAGCTATTACATTACATGCATTATTGTATAAATATACTAGACCATTGTCATAGTCATTTTTGTAATAGCTACCAGTAACATTTAGGTACTACGAATGCCAGTAGGGCACCAGGTAGATTTTATTTATTTTTGCTGTTTTTACGAACCTGACCCTATAACTAGCCTTCACTTTAATAGTGATACAATCATAGAAAAAACATTTTATTTCCCTGATCGAATTCTTTATAGATCCCGTATTTGTATATACTAATTTTTTAATCTGTTCTAACATACTGGAAAATTTTTACCCAAAAATAAAACTTGTGTGTATTATTATAAAACATAATAGTTTAAAATACGGGATACATTACATGATACTTAAATTTAGTATCAAACTATTGCAGTTCTGTTCTTGTGATTCAAACTATTTCATTATTTAAAGTTTGCATGTAACTAATTATAAGCTGAAATCAAATAGTGTTTTTTTTTTTACCATTGTGTATTACTGGTACACAACATTTAAAATTTTTTAATTCTTAGGCCCTATTTAGATATTCATAATCATAGTTATGTACTTAAAAAGTATTTGTGTGTTTTATTTGTGTGTTCAGAAAATGAATTAGACATTAGCTTGTAACTGTGTTAAATGTCATTTGAAAATATGTTTAATATAATTTAGTTGAGAATAGTTTCAGATTTTATATTAAATTAGCAATTTAAAGAACAAACATTTCAACAATGGCTCTCATTGAATATAAATTATATGTTTGGCATAGCTACATTTTTAAGTAACATGTACAGTATTCAGTCTTTGCTGTTTTTTTTATGGCCATTATCTGTGTTAGTGAGTCATAAAATACTTAAGTGGGAAGGGCAACTGATAAACTCATTGCTATCTAACATTTGTTGATATCAGCATTTTAGTTTTAGTGGTAGTTAAAACATGATATGTGCTATTCAGTTAAATGGGTAAAGAGAAACAATGGCCTTTTTTTAGTAACATATAGGCTGATTGTTTTCAACTAAATATAGATCTATAATTCAGATTCTTTTTTTTTTGCTTTGTAACTTAAGAATCTAGCATTGAAATGATCTCACCATATATACTAGGATTTACTGACCAAAATTGTTAGCCAGTTAACTTAATTTTTTGGTCAATGGATTTTTTCCTTTGGTTGAACATCGTTAATCTACATTTCTGAATGCTAAAAAATAAAATTTACAGGATACTGACATAATTTCAGTAATATTAAGAATGCTTCATATGAACATTTTGTATGTCTAATTCAGAAAATAGTTGTTGCTGCATCACCCTACTGCTATATATTAACTGTGATAATTTACCTTTCATACAATTATCTGATAACTTGTAAGATAACATTAAACCCCTAAGTGATAAGTTGCATGTAGTTTATATTTTTTTCTTTCAGAGCATCTTCAGTTATTTTATTTACAGTTTAGTTTGGCCCATATTAACTTTAAGACCGAAGCCTTCATCATTGGATGTCACTTTATGATATCCTTTGAAATATTCCAATAATTAAATAATGAAAATATCCAGTTTGTTATTTTATAAACAGTGTACATTAAAGTTGCTACTGTTATAGTCAGTGTGTTTGTTTCTTTTTCATAGTATGAATACAAATCAGACTTCACCCTCCCCTCAAAGTACATGTGCCTACAAATGTTTGTCTTGATGATATTGAAATTAAGTTATGCAAATGAAAACAATCACTATTAATATACTTCTTGGTAAGCCATGGTTGCAGTTAAAATATAACACCAAGGTATAGTAATTGGCATGGCCTAGTAGACATGTTGCTGGAACCATTGCTTCAGTTCACAAACATTCAAGCTCAAAACATGTACACAATGTAAGAATAATTAATAACTTGTAGTTTTAAAAATAATTTTTTGTATTTATTTGAATCACAATAAAATGTAACAAATATGAGCCCAAACCATGTTTAGCAACTGGTCATTGAAATAACATTTATAAAACCATTAAACATTGTTTTGCTTTGGTTACATGGATCAAATAGAAACAATGACCATTTCAAATACTTGATATGCATAGTGGTTGTTGATAAATAAAGGCAATAGCCTGATATGATAAAAATAAATGATTTTTATAACAAACAAAAAACAAACCCAAACTTATGGCATATAATTAGTATTGGATAATTATAGCTCCGTGAACTAAAAATCATCACTTTTAACTCATTTGTTAAAGTGGAAACATTAATGCAAAAATAAGTGAAATAGTATCAATAAGTAAATTTTTTATAACAATTTATTTTGGCTGGGTAGTTAAGCGCAGATACTCTTTTCCAGAAGGAAGTGTACGAACTTCATGATCAGGGAAAAGCTGCTCAGCTTCTTCTTTGGATACAGATGGAATCACCATACATTTATCTCCATTCTGCCAATCCACTGGTGTGGCTACTTTTCTGGTGGCAGTTAACTGAAGTGAGTCAATGACCCTCAAAATTTCACTAATTGACAGAAAAATAAAGAGAATATGTCAAAATTAATATTGTTAGCCAGTAATGAATAACAATCTAAAAGATATTTTTAATTTGATCAATAAACTGATGACAAGAAATGCATAATATGGTAAATACATGTCCAAACAACAAGACAAATGCATTTAATGTGAATTCATTTAGCACTTAAAGCCCTGAAAGAATCATATTTAACTTACTTGAAATTACGACCAGTAGTAGCAGGATACAGGATAGAGAGTTTCAATTTCTTGTCTGGTCCAATAATAAACACAGCACGGGCAGTAAGAGGAAGTCCCTCTTTGGTTTTCTCGTCTGGGTCAATCATACCAAGTTCAACTGCTAACTCTCTCTTCTCATCAGCAATGATTGGGTAAGGAAGTTTGCTTGCTGAGCAGCCAGCATATTCAAGGACATCCTTCAAAGAAATTTTTTTTAATAGTTAGACCTACTGTAAGAAATATTTTAAGTACTGTACTGGAAGCCATACAGATAAGTAGGATTAGCAGTCATAAATCAAATGTTCAGATGATTAATTCTAACATTTACTCAAACCCACAACTTACATGCCAAAACAAATCATTAGTACAAATCACTCTATACATTAACAATACTTTATCCCTTCAAATTAAATGTATGCTAATGTTGAGGCTGACTGTCCTAACCAAGTAACAGCAAAAATAGATGAATTAACCAAAAGAGAAGAGACTTAGGGGTCATCCATAAATGACGTCACACTCGTAGGGGGGAGGGGGGGTCCGTAATTTTGTGACGATGTGTGATGAGGGGGAGGGGGGGGGGGGGGTTCAGATGTTGCGACGTCACATTTTTGCATTATAAAAAAGCAATGTTAGAAAACGAATTTTAGACGTTATTTCGCGTTTTAGATAACTGTTTTAATAAATTGTAATAGTTTAGACAAGATTTTGGAAAAATATCGATGTTTTAAAAAATTCAACTGCAATTTTGAGGGGGGTTGTAGGTTGAGGTGTGACGTCATTTTAGGGGGGGGGGGGGGTCTGGCTTTTTGTGACGACGTGTGACGGAGGGGAGGAGGTAAAAATCGTCAAAAAAAGCGTGACGTCATTTATGGATGACCCCTTATGTTCTTATGGTGCAAAAATGTGCCATCATTCACTACATACCTTGCCCCATCCAATGTGGCTTGTCACATCATCACATGACAAGGCAATCAGTTTCACATCCCTTCTTTTAAACTCAGGTTCAAGGTTCACAACTCTAGCTAACTCAGTGGTGCAAACTGGAGTATAGTCAGCTGGATGAGAGAACAATATAGCCCATCTGAAAGAAATGAAAAACAAATTTTAATAATCACAAAAGCTTATAAAACAATTAATAATCCCTTAACTTATCCATAACATATTGACAAGGTAGTCGACTTGTTATTAATTATGTAATATTTTAATACCTCCAAGATGCCAAGCAACAACCAACAAAAAAGTGGTCGGACAAATATGTACAATATATATATAGAATTATAGATTAGCATGTATGATGGAACTTGATGAGGATCAGCATCCTAGCTGGATGATTAGCATTGTCAAGTTGCGCAATTCTAGTCTAACACTGGTAAAAAGCTAAAACTAAGAGAACACTTCCTTAACCTGCATGGAGGTGGAAAATACACTAACACAACACTTAACACTAGCTGAATATAGATCTAGACGTCTAGATCTATTGAATATAAATAATATTTTAGGCCCCTAACAAAAAAAAAACAAAAAATAAATGTAGATCTAGAATCTAGATCTAGATCTAGTAGATTTTAAGTAGATCTAGATTAAGTCAGTTTAATTATTGCTGCTATTAATTAAGGTTAAGTAGATCTAGCTAGATTAGTAGTATGTAGATCTAGGCCTAAAAATAAATTATTAATTAGGCCTAATTACACTAGTAATTAGTAATTAGATCTAAAACATAGACCTAGAATCTAGATCTGAGATCAGCAGATCTAGATCTCTAGAAAGATCTTGAGTCTAGAACTCTAGGCCTAGATCTAGATCGAGATTCTACACAGTCACAACTGTACAACAAAGGCCGTCAAAGGCACAAGCAGACCCACACACATTGATTAAAAAAAAAAGATTTCTATCAAAACACAAAAGATTCTTCAAGACAGACTCTGCGACTAGACTAGAAATCTAGATCAGAAATTCTCTTACGAAGAACCAATCCAATCGTGAAACTTTTCAATCTTTCCTTCTGATGTATCAGCGGAGAAGTTAGGAAATACGTCGCCAAGTTTAACCATTTTTGCTTTTATTTTTAGAATCTGCTAAACGGATCTGTCGGCTAGCTACGTTGGATGTTCCAATGACGACGAAGCTCGCGCTAGATCGTTGTTTGCCGGTTTAACCTTTGAACTATAGGTACTTGTGTTCAAGGCCCAGCGGTTCAAAAAATGTAAGAGTATTAGGCCTACCTCACTTGGATGTTGACGTAGAATAGATAAAAGAAGAGCAAATCGCGGGGCGAGGGATGTTGTTAATTTTAGGGGATCGTACATAAATATTACATCTAAATAACATGGCATAAAATTAGCCAATTCCGCTATTGATATCATCACATGAAGAAAGTCCCCCCCCCCTCCCCGAACGAAAGGAATTTATATTGAAAATTTAGTCCGCGCCTTTTAGACAGCCTTTTAATATAGCGTATTTTTAAATTGTATATTTAAACGCGCGCAACGAAAACAAAATGCTTTCAAGACAAGGTTTGTAAAAATAAGTAGATCAGGTTTTGGTCTAGATATACCTATTTCTTTCAGCCTTTTTTCTCCAGGGTGGAGGGGGGGGGGGACTTTCAGGTTTCACGTTATTGAAACAAATACTAAATTTTAGGCCTATCAAAAGTCCCTAATTTGGTAAAATTCCATTTCAGCGTATTTTATTCGCCGTTTCACGTTCACCTCCAGTTGAGCGTATTTTATTATAAACACAACCACAACACACAAAAAAACGTTAGGAAAACACTAGGATTGGAATCATTAGATGATAGATATAGATCTACTAATTTTTTATGAATGTGTTTTGATAAATTATAAATTAGCATTACAGTTCCAATTAAATAGCGTGTGATCGTCGGCGTGAGAAAATTCCTACATGTCAAGGGTTCACCGTGAGTTCACTTTCAATTTGACTTTAATTATCAGCAAACGTCATAGCTTAGGGACACTTAGGGTCATTGTGAGTTCAAGTATGTTAATTTATAGTATCATGCCTTGCAATTATGCGTTTCTACTTTACCCATTGCCATGAAAATCTTAACTGACACGAACATATTTTCAAGACAAAAAAAAGATAAATCTAGATCTAGATATAAAATTAATAAATAGATCTAGATCTAGATCTAGTACACATTCAATATTCCAATTTTTTTGATTTTCTGAAGTTTTGACAAAATTAATTAAAAAAAAAAAACTAAACCAAAAATTAAAATTCATAAAGAAATAGGCCGAGTGATTTCCTAACGTTTTTGTGAGTTTCGGTTGTGTTTAAAATAAAAACTGGAGGTGAACGTGAAGCGGGGAATAAATAAAGCAGCAATAAATTTAAGTTTTTTATTGACTAAATTGATTTTTATTAATGATTTATTAATTTTAAAAAGGTGAATTTAGACCTAGTCTAAAATTACTTCAATTTCCATGAAAAAAAGTGCAACAACTCTGATATGATTTTGGGAAAATATATGCCAGCTGGTACGTTAAATTTATCATCTAACAAAGATAAGATTGATTTGATTTTTCAAGATTTAATTAAGAACCATAAAATAAAATTTCTAATATATATATGTATTATATATAATTCTTATTTTAAATATATCAACTTATAAAAAGCATCTTACTATTTCAAAAATAAATATTGAAAATGAAACCTGCGCCTCTTAGTTAAAAATCTGGCCCATAAATAGTCAATTTCCACATGGACATTGTGTTTATGTATACAAGTTGGTTATACGTTACTCAAGTTATAAAGTAAATGTTGGATAATTTTAAATACATAAATGACGCAAATTTATCACTGCAATATCCTGTTGTTCTGATCCCATCTATACCGTATGTAAGAGTTAATTGTTTATTTAATCGTACATTTTAAATCTAATAATAATAAATATTTGAGTTCCACGGTCCACACTCCCCGGTCCCCAGACCCGACGAGTGCAGAGTTATTAATTAAATTTAACATTAACAAGACGAAAGCAGGAACTTTTTGAATAATTCAACCCAGTTTCTAACTTTTCCAGCGCTGCTGATTATAAAACAACAACATATAAGCATTAGGGCCTAATGAATAAGAAACTGAATAAAGGTCTTGTGGTAAGTCTACTAACTACACTATAGGCTTTTTGATGAGAATTACAGAATGATTTTTTTTATTAAAAATGTATCAATAATAGCTAGAACACTAGTAAACTAAGCTAATTTAGCATATTTTAACTTTCTGTGTAAAGTCATTATTACTGAAAAAAAATTCCAAAGTCAGGTCAGTCTGTGGCAACCTCCAATGAACTTGACAGAAGGAAAAAAAACTTGACCCGTGACCTTCATTAAAACAGAATTTGCTTTTGTTTTTTTTTTAATTTTCAGTATACATGTGCTTAATCTTACCCAATAAGTGATAAAAATTTGAAAATTAATTTTAATTACTGGTGTAAAGTGACATAAACAGCTTAATAAACACGTGTTTTCTTGAGGGGGTGTGGCCCGGGTGTGGCACATCCTGACATCGCATTGTTTGTAACTTTATATTTCTGTGTTTTATGACTATATTTGTTCACAATCAGCATGCTATGCTTTTAATTTTGATAAAGGGTAAGTATACCAAGTTACAAAACCTGAAATCTAACTAATAATTCATACTTTCAGTTTAAAAAATAATGAAAACGATCATCAATGAAGAAAGCGTAAACATTCTATTTTTAGGTGTGACATAAAAAAACAGTCATAAATCTAGCCAAATGATTGGATTCTTGCGCAGCACACATTTTCCCGCGCCTCGTTTTCACTAAGCAAGATTATAATAAAATGGCATTATTGGGGGGTGATCGTTTTCCCACGCACATATCTCATTAACACGCCAAATTATTACCAGTTAATGGTAATGTGTGTAAAATTAATACTTTAAAGTTTACATCTGACATAAGCTGGTTTGCATCTGGAAGCGATATGTAAGAGTTATTTGATATAAAAGACAAGAATTCATAGAGCTACTTTCACTAAGGCGCCGCTTGCGAGACAAACAAAGGAATTAGGCCAAAAGTAGATCCGACAATTCTTAAATAACAGACTTAAATAGAAACGGATAGTTCCGATTTCTTAAATTAACGATGGCTTCGTAATCATTAGTTTTATCGCTCTACCCATTAGTGAAAGCGAAACTGGTCGCCATTTTTGGTAAGCGCATGAGCCGTGAGATGGCTTCAAAACAACAAACCCGGAAGCTGCGAATTCGAACGGCCTATACACTACTTTACTTTCACCATTGAAATTGCTGAGTGATGGCTGCTTGTACATCTGAATCTTAAATCCTCCTGACCCAACCTAAGTCATAAGCCTAGGCATTTTGACTTCCACAGTTTTGATGGGGTACGACCACTTGCTAACTTTTTGATGTAGTTTTTATAAAAACTAACAATTTTCAGAGGAATTTTGGACCTCGCTGTAGGAATTGACTATCTCAGTAATCTAACTTATAACTAAACATACTCATAGCCTATTTTATACAGATATATTTTATATTAGTCTAATCATATTATGTTTCAATGAGAAAATTACGAAACCGAAATCGATCTCTCAATTCTGTGTTTATCTTGCTTACTTGTCCCTTAGGCCTAGGGTGCTGTAGATTTTAAATAATTTTACGTAGGCCCTAGGCCTATTAAAAGCATTGTGAGTGTCTTGCCATTAACTTTAAGTCTCTATTAAATAAATAATATTAGGTTTAGTATTCACAACATGTTTACACATAATTATACATTTTAAAAATTTAGCTGGAACTTCAGCCTTGACTTGTTTTAGTAATAACTTTAAAAAATTCATATAAAAAACTACTTGGCCTAAAATGAATTTGTTTACATTTTTATAAATTGGGTAGGCCTATATTATGGGATTAATCTATGTCTATTTTATCATTCTATGATAATAAGACCATTTTTCCTAATATACCTGCCTACTGTGAAAGAAAAGCTAGGCCTAATCTTCCTACAGACCTTCACCTAGGTATTTAGTTCTAGCATCCTAGTCGTACTCTACCTATTCTCTACTGTAACAGCTACAGCTAGTGGAGTGACTAGTGAGTACTCTTATTGAAGTTTTATTGAGCACTACCTCTAAGGTGATTTCTATTACCTGACAAGTGACATTCAGTAACTAGATGATCAGGTGTATTTATTATACCAGTGTACGATAATGGCACAATAATAGAATCTTCTTTAAAAAGCAGTGTAGTTTACTGGTACTTCATTAAATAAACATGACTTGCTAATGTCAATGCTGACTTCTGAAAATGTGTGTTATGTTTTTAGTATTATTTTAATCTTGACTAGTTTTATGGTTAGAAATTGATCTGTCACTTATCTGATCAAGAATATTAAATTATTCTGTAAGTTTCACTACATTTAGGCAGGAAACAAAATGTTTTTAGTGTTAAAGCCAGTTGTTAAAACTCTGTAGTTTGCTGCATTAAAAAAAAAAAAATTTCTTTGCAGGCTGACCTGTAATCTGCATGGTAGTTTACTTTAGACAACCAGGAATTCATCTACCCATGATCATGATGACAGGCTCTGAGAGCCACACACTGGAGCTTGTAAAATGTGATAACAGTCACTTTAAGGCTCTTCTTGATTTGATACCACCACAGTCTTACTTCAAGCAGGAAGAGAAACAAGAAATTTATGGCAATAGTTCAGGTTCATTTGATTACTTTTTAAAACCTTTGTCATTGTTTAAAAAATGGTTAACTTTTTTACTCATTATAAGTAAGATAAAAAAAAAGAGTCAATATTCCAGTTCTTTTTTAATGTAAGAAAAGCATTTTTGTTTAAAATGTTAGATTTAATTATAATTAACATTGATAATGTATTGATCTTGTATGTGTTCTAATGTGCAGACGAAGATGATGATCCTAAGTCAAAGAAGAAAAAGAAACCTAAAAAAGGAGTCCCACTCTCATCTCTCTCAGTGACACAGATAACTGAGCTCAGACAGCAAGGGTTAAACTTAGGTATGACATCACTTGTTACTATCTTACATTTTTATTTTGAGCTCTACTTGATTGAGCTTGGACGGCAAATGTTAAAACAGAAGGGTTTGCGCTGTCGAGTAGGTAAAGCTCATGGTTGCTAAACCGAAAAGCCTCGAAGTCACTCTTCTAGGAGAGACAACTCAAAATGAAACAACTGCTGCCTTGTTGTTTGTTCTTGGTTGGACAAAGGCTATGGAAGCAAATCCAAAAAGAAAAGCAGGCTGAAATCGGAGTCAATGGCCTCAATGGCGCTTAACCAGTTGACACGTATCCTTAATTGTGTTGGAGGGGGATCCCTTCCAACACTAAAATTAAGAACGAAGAAGAAGAAAAACTGATATATCTTTGATCAGTAATGTGTTAACATTTTTTTAGCCTAAGTTGACAAGTGAATTCAAGTATTAAGGCTGCGTTTCAATGATTTATACATAAGCACATAATAATTTTGGGATGACTGTTTTTAACAGTCCGCAGAATAGAGATTAGTAAAGGTGACAACCTCAGTATTGACCATGCCATCCCTATGCACATAGTGTTCACTGGAACTAATGAAACACAATAGACTGTCAAAGCTTAAAAGATGCATTGTATTGCATCCTGTTATGGGGTATTGTTTTTTTTAATTGTCTTGTAGCATGTAGTGTTTCCAGATAATTAACTTTAATTATTTCATGTTAGGTAACAAAAAAGCAAAGAATATTCCTAATGGAACCACAGAGGAGGCATCATACTCTATAGGTAAATAAAGTTATTGTATATTAAAATTAAATTAAATTTATTTAAATTATTCCTACCTATGAAGACATTAGCAACATATGAAACAAGAAAAGTGTTACTGATGTACAGCATGTTTGTTTTCAAGGAATGAAATATTACCATAACTTATTTTGGTTATGTATATAAAGGGTTTCAAAGAGCTGTTGTCTTAAAGTGTACTGTTTAATTAGGTTATCCCTGTTTGTTGTTGAAGTGTAATAACATTAATATACCCTGTAGAGGACAAGCATAAAGGAAAAAAGTTAAGCAGATCAGCTAAAGGAAAACTGAGTGATAAAGAACTAGCACGGAGAGAATCTAGACACGAAGAGTTGAGAGAAAGATTGAGGCTAAAGTTGGAAGAGTTGAAAGGTACCCTATTATTTTATTACCTATTATAATTAATTTTTTATGATTAGCAATTTATGCTAATGGCTTAATATTAGATAATATAAAAAAGAAAACGATTACTGTATATGCTAATAAGTGTAATATATATTGACATACAACTTATTTTTTGTAAAAAGTATCTATGTTTAAGACATTTTTAAGAAAAGTATGTAAAAAAGCAAAGTGCATTAAGATGGGACAGGTTGAATTGGAAAGGCAAATCTTGTTGATCCAGTTGCATTTTAAAAAAATTCTCTGTTGAATATGCATAAAGACATTAATTATTTTTTTTTTTTGTAGTTAAAATATATCATTAAAATTTAATCACAAAAACTAGGCATTATCTATTAATTACATGCTCTTTTTGAAGTAACTTTAATCAATACAAGTAAATTTAAAATTACTAGTCTGATGATTATGTTTAAATTTTTTGCCCAGCTCGGAAAAACAAAGGGGGCGTGAGTTCACAAGAGCAGAAGCGTTTGAAACGCCAAGAGAAAAAAGTAAATGATCGGTTAAAGAGCAAAAATAAAGGCAAGCACAAAGAACTTCGTATGACACCTGTTGCCGAAGGTTTGAAATCTTCACCTCAGAACAGAATTCTTAACCAGAACGGGGAGCCAGTGAAATCTAAGTTTGACTTTTCAAATATTACCTTCGGCAACGAGAAACAACACTCTTCAGATCTCCATGGAAAAGATTACAAAAGACTGTTGGAAAAAGTGGAAGCCAGAAAAGCCAAGGTGGAGAAATTGAAAGAAAAAGACCCTGAAGCCGGGAAGAAACTTGAACAAAAAATGCAATGGCAGAATGTTCTAAGTAAAGCTAAAGGGGAGAAGGTTAAAGACGATCCTAACCTGTTGAAAAAAGCAGTGAAGAGGAAAGAAAAATTAAGAGAAAGCAAACAGAAGAAATGGGGTGAGAGGGTGAAAAATGTTGAGGATATGAAACAGAAACGACAGGATAAAAGACAGGCAAATATTGATAAGAGGAAGGAGGGAAAGAAAGATAAGAAGAGGAAAATTATGATTAAAAAGGGAAGAATCATACCAGGTTTTTGATTGGGCATATTTGGGGGATGGGGGGATTTTTAGCATGAGTCAAAAGTGAGTAGTGAGCCTGTAACATTTTTAGTACAAATGTGGTGGATCTTAAGCAACATGTTGAAGCGTACTGAATGAGTGCGAGTGTTAATTAAGTTTTTGATTTGGCAGCTTCTCCATTCACTCACCTTTTTAACTGTACGTCTGTGATTTGGGTGAGCTGTAGTGAACCAATACAACTCTAGTGTTGAATAGAGTTGAAGACCTGTGCTGTCTGTATGGCTTGACAAGCTGGCTGTATGACTTGACAAATTATTGTAATTAAACATGGGCAGAGAGAATATACAAAGTTTATGTCTAATATAATAAAATATAAAATGTATACATGTAGTAATGGTAAGACATGTAGGTCTAGACAGCGTTAATATAATTAATGAAGTTCTAATGCTCATGTTTAGCAAATGCTACTTTTTCTTAGAATTTTATGGAGCACTCTCAGGTTATTTAAACTAATTTTACATTGATAGTACTTTTTAGATCTATTTACTATAATTTGAGAAACACTGACCAATATGACTGAACATTGCATTATGTCTTTTTTGTAGCATTATCATTAATAGATTTTTTTTTAGGAAATCCTTTTTCTATTAAAAATATTTATAGAATAGTTTGAGGGATTTTAGCTTTTTCATGGAAAAAGAAATGCAATTTTTCTTTGTCAGGTGGTCTGTTAAATGTACTTTGTAACTACTTGAGATTGGCTGGTGTTTTTTTTTTTTTTAATTTTGTTGATGTAAGATATTTCATATTCACAGAAAGGAATATGTTGTTACATAATAAAAACAATTTGTGACATTTTAAAATGATCCATTTTTTTTAAATTTACAGTTTTTAGTCTTGTTTAGACTGAATTCATTAGATTAAAAATGATTTTTTAAAATCTTTTCCCCTAATTTAAAAGTCTAAGGATACCAAGAAAGTGTTAATTAGCCTAAAATTCTCACCAGCCATTCTGCACTGTCTGGAGATGGAATCAAAGTTCAAGTCAATAGATTGTCCCTGAGTCCACTCAGCTGTGGTGGGTGCCTAACTCAAGTTATGGAAAGTATGAGCGGTTGGGCATAGTGCTGACCACACTATCCCAACATATGCAGTGGTCACAGAAACAGATGAACTCTACTTTACTTGCCCCATGGAACAGCAAGGTTCAAAAAGGAAACTACTTTATATTCTGCACTGTCCATAAGATGAAGCTCACCAGAAGTCCTTGAATGCAGGGTGTGCCAAAACGTCCTCCATGTAGTCATTAACTGTCTTAGCAAGTGTCAATACTAATCTCTACTGAAGCTAAATGGCCATTAAAAGTTAAAGATGAGCATAGATTCAGCAGGAAAACAAATGTATTAGTCATGCATTCTACCATTTGACCACTCTGTCCTGGCTTGACTTGTGTTGATAGAGTACATAATAATTGATACTTAATAGGATAAGTTGCACGCTGTGGTTGTATGGTAGAGCGCAGGCCAAAGCTTTGAGTTTGGATCTCAAGAGAGTGTAGGACATCCCTGAGTTCACCCAGCACTAATAAGTACCTGATTTAGATTAGGGAAAGAAAAGATGGCTGGGTATAGTGCTGACCACACTATCTTTTCATGTACTGAGGAGAAGAAACAGAATAACTACTTCATCATTACCAGGACTGAAAGGGTAACTTATATTAAATATGATTTATTAGTGGACCCAAATTCCTACTGCCATTTACAATAGATGGTCTTTACCTCTTTAAAACATACTGAAAATTTAAAATAATTGCATAACAAAATTTGCCAATTTAATTCTTCAAAGGCACTGGTTAAAGCACTGTCTCCAAAATGTGTAAATGATGGAATAATTTCAATAAGATAAATTTTGCTGAAGACGTCGCAATAGAATTAACTTTATTTTCTTCCTTAGTTGCTTATAAAATTTTTTAATTATTATTATAGTTTTTTGTATTGTTTTAGATAATAGAAATTTAAAATGATTAAGTCTTAATCAATATACTTTTTAAAAAAAAAAGCTAATTTAGAATTCTACTAAAATCTAGGAAAAAAAAAAAATTCATAAAAAACGTTTTAATAACAAGCTTTTATGTAATGATGCACTAAAAAGTAGAAAATAAATTATAGACTACTATTTAAATAACTATAAAGAAAAGCGTGGGTCACTTTAGTATCTATTGGATACCTTTACTAATGTTAAGGAAGACACCCACGCTTTTCTTTATAGTTATTTAAATAGTAGTCTATAATTTATTTTCTACTTTTTAGTGCATCATTACATAAAAGCTTGTTATTAAAACGTTTTTTATGAATTTTTTTTCAGTACTTTACATGTTTTATCTACAATAGAGTTACATGACTAAAAACCATTGCGCGCCTACTGAATATCACGTTCAGTAGGCGCGCAATGGTTTTTGAACGCAGCCATTACGTGGTCGTGATGGCGCAGCTATTGATGACGCGTGTGGTGTGGTTGGCTAGACATGCCTACTAATTCGGTCCAAATTTTAATTAATTCATAAAAAATCAATTAGGCATCCAATTAAGTCAAATTTAGTTTCAGATTGCATTGTCTTCATGTCTTGACCCACGTGCCAACTGTGAATCGTGTCGGTCAAGTAGAACTGTCCGAATTTTCACTCCTGCGTTTCCGTCAAGACAGACAGAGGAAGTGAGTTAAATAAAAGCTTGTAAAAATACACCACAAAAAACAAGCAAGGGCAGATAACATTGTAACCTTAGATAGCTTTAAATTTTGCAGAGTTAATTCCCCTGACAGTATAGAGTAAAATAATAGCTTCAAACTATGTATGTAACGATCTTAATCTATAGTCGGTTAATAAAACAACTGGATGTAGCATTGTTTTCTCTAAAGTTAGCTAGTTAGCACGTTTACATCATGGTGTCCCACGATCCCCCCCCCCCCCATCTCCCCGTGTCGAATCGTCAATATGTACTTAAAAGACTATTTAATTAACCATTAATGAACGGGCTTAAAGCACTTTTTGCAGTGATTTTTTAACAATTTTTTTGTCTTGGTGTCACCCCTCTCCCCCTAAATGGTGTCACCGGTGAGGGCTCCGAAACCCTAGCACCTCCTCTCGCGACGCCCCTGGGGTAGATGTCTTTTACCATGTTATACAAAGGTTTAGTGGTGGGTTCCAAACGTCCTATTTTTGTGTTATAAATATTCGATCCCTAATAACAATACCACCATATCACACCAAGCACCACGCTTTACTCTATTACTCAACAGCTATTAATGTTCTCTTCAGTGTTTCTTCCAACCTTTTTTTCCGGGGGTGCACTTGAAATTTTCGGGGGGGGGGGGGGGGGCACAACAATTTCCAGAGGGGGGCGGGGCGGAGACTGTCAAAAGTATATATTTTCTATATATATTCCATTTCGTTCGGGGGGGGGGGGGCAGTACCCCCCCCCCCCCCCCGAAGAGATGCCTGGAAGAAACTCTGGTTCTCTTCTTAAATGCGAATGATATAGGCTACTTTATCTACTACGATGAGCAGCACAAAGGGCGCTAACCTGGAAATAATAAGCACAACAACAACCTGGAAAAGGCCTATCCTAAGTAAAGACAAAGAGTCAAAATTATTTCAGCCAATCATCATCCGCGTAACAGTTCATCGGTGACGCAGAAAGCTGCGCCGTGTTGTAAAGTGCACCCAGAATTGACGCCAACTGGTGGCGCCGTATAAAAGAAATGTGTACAGATAGTCGACAGAATCTATGCGTACTTTTATTAAGATTCCAGGCGAGCTTCGGCTTGGTTGAGCCAAGCACGTAGGAATCCAGCTTGTCATCTTTAAGGTAACGCATGGATTCGTTCTAGTACTAGAGGCAGTCGGGGTTAAAATGGAATAGAGACTTTTAAAATAATTACGAGTTTGTGAAGTGGGAGTGAAAATGGAATTGAGACTTTTATATATGGCGTTAATGGGAGGGGGGGGGGGGGAGGATTGGGTGAATGTTTGCATAAAAAATATTTATTGCTAAATCAATCACTTTATTATATCTCATGGGGGTAGTAAGCATTAGTACTATCCTAATTATATTAATTTACCAAGATTCAAATGAATTCATAACAATTTTAATTTAGTTTTCTGCCACAAATACAGTTTAGTGATAAAAAGTAAACCTTAAAATGCACGGCTCTTTAGATGTAAAGCTAATGGTACATTTTCAGTTTTGGCTTTTTATACTACTCTATACAGAAACGTAGCAACCTTTTGCAGCGAATTATCAGATTTGCGCTCCCCTTATTTAATAATTTTACAAGTCACTAACTCCGGTATTTAATTTGTTTAATTTTGTCAATTTGTTGTAATGCAAAAGACTAAAACAATTAATTAAATCCGTTTGTAAAACTGTGTAACAGTCTATTTCCTTAATCTCAACGGCTTATAATTCAGAATTGCAACACAAGATGAGCAATGTTAATTCCTATTGGCGCTCTCCAAGGGTCGGCACTCAGGGCGGCCTCCATACCAAACCTACCCATCTATGCATGTCACTCTAGATCGTATATATATATATATATATATATATATATATATATATATATATATATATATATATATATATATATATATATATATATATAAAAGAATAGACTGAAATTTCTTGTCAAATATTTGTAGAGTGGGCCCGATGTTACGGTCCCTTGTCCCTTAGCCTATATATATATATATATATATATATATATATATATATATATATATATATATATATATATATATATATATATATATATATATATTTATATATTTATATATATATTTATATATATATATATATATATTTATATATATATATATATATATATATATATATATATATATATATATATATATATATATATATATATATATATATATATATATATATATATAGGCTAAGGGACTTGTGAAGATACATATAGATTATATGTAAGGGATGGGTAAAATATTACCCTAAAAGTTACTGGAGAGAAACGGAAGCAGGCCGCCGCCCATGTAATCTGCACGTCGATCATTAGCAGACGACAGCTTGTCTTCAATAACTAAATCCAACCTGGCAAATCGTCAATCGTTACTTGCAGGTGCTGCCAGGGCGTGGCTGATGTAGATTTTAAAGCTGGACTTTTAGTTCGTGTTTTTTAACACGAGCGGTAATTAATTACCAAGTGGCAATCAATTAATTGAAGGAGACGTGGCGATTCAACAGAGTTGTAGACTGGATATATATATATATATATATATATATATATATATATATATATATATATATATATATATATATATATATATATATATATATATATATATGTTTCAAATAGCTGACATGAAACAGACTCTAAATCTAAATTTCTTTTACCAGAGACAAACTCTAAAGCTCCCACATAGATACCCGTACTTCCAACTCCTTTTCAACATACAATATTACATACCCGTCCCTCCAAAATGCAATTTTTTTAGATCAGCTATTTCTTTTTAAAATATTTATCAAGCTGGGTTAACATTACTAATATTGTTTTACTAATTTAACTATTGTTACGACGATTTACAAAGTCTTTTAAAATTACACATATTTCTTTAAAACAACAGTCTTTATCATATTTTCTGAACTTTTTCAGTTTTCCTCGTCCCAATCAATCCAATCCCCCCTCCCCCTTAGAGTACGACATTAAGAATGGGGGATCCCTTTTTGTGATTATTGAAACATAATACATACGATTCCTTGGTATTCAAAAATCTATTACACCCTAGATCAGCTTCTTAACTTTCTTGGAGGTACCGAACCCCACTAGTTCCATATGCGC